AGAAAGAAAGAAAGAAAGAAAGAAAGAAAGAAAGAAAGAAAGAAAGAAAGAAAGAAAGAAAGAAAGAAAGAAAGAAAGAAAGAAAGAAAGAAAGTACTGGTCTGAAATGTTCTTGAATGATTTAAAAAGCATTGTGTAGTGTAAAAAAAAAAAAAGATGTATGATGTGAAAATTCAATAAATCTGTTAGCGGAACATTCTTTCTGTGCTGTGTTTCTGACCGGACGAGTTTAGACTGTGTACCAGACCAGCTTTGAAAACAGAAGAAAGTCAAAACTCATATTATTCTAATGTCTGGAGACACTGTGGAAAAATGGGTTTTGCGCTTTTAAATCTACATGTCCCCGCTGGTGCAGATGAATTAAAAGTGAGTTTAAGGCGGACACGAAGCTCTGCAGTGGRCTATTATCAACAACAAGATTCGTTTCTTGTAAGTTTGCAAATCGGACTTCTCACTTATTAAGCGGAAAGAGGTTTTTTTTTTTTAAGTACTTCATTACTGAGGAGTGACATCTGGTCAAAGCTATTCCAGAGTGTTTGCATGTAATCCAGATGATTATAACAGAAGTCATGAAGACGTTTTTGCAAAAGACACACGACGTGTTTTTAAAGGTTTGTCTGTTTCCGAGCACCTTTGGCCGCTCGGCTCCGCGGCCAGCAGCCTCGGAGGTGCTGACCTGCCACCTGCTGCAGCGCAAGCTCCCACCGTGGACTTCCTTCTGTGTCCGMTACAGCTCCGTCCACAACGACCAGTTTGGTTTATCTAACTTTAACTGGAGAGTTCAGGGCTCCAACTACCACATCCTGAGAACTGGCTGCTTTCCCTTTGTGAAGTACCACTGCACCAAAGCCCCTCCACAGAACCTGGACTTCGAGGACAAGTTTTTCACCATGCTGAAAGTTATTAATCTGGGTCAGTACTTCTGTCATACACTTGTACATAATTGCTGTACTTCGTATTTTGGTACAGATAAAGGCAAATAATCCCTGTGCGTGCTGTTGTTGCAGGCATCCCCTGTTTGGCCTATGGGGTCGGGTGCTGGATGGTGATAGGAGCAGCAGAAACAGTGCAGACAAGTGTTGGACCTGTCACTGTCTATTTCGCCTACAAAGAAGAAGAAGGTGCACAGTACTAAACAAATAAAGCTACAAAGACAATATTTTCTGCCMAGCTGCTGTATTTATGTCACATCTGTGTCCTTTGTCATTGACGGTCTGGTCTAACWGCACAATTACATTTGTGATAAATTATTAAATATTTAAAGTTGAAATGAACAGTCAGTTGTGCAAGTCATTAATGTCTACAGCAGTTTGTCTTTATGTGGAAAGCTAAGTTAATTTAAAGAAAATGCTTATTTTAAAGTAAACAACTGTTTTGGAAACACTGATGTTTGCTTCTTTGAGGGGTAAAAGGCAAACACCAATTTCTAAGAATCATAATGTTATGGCTAAGAAAAAAAAAAGAATCATAATGTTATCACTTGCCATCAAACCCTGCCATCTTTTAGCTCATGTCCTCGTGTGTTGGTCTGTTACTAAAATATCTTACAAGTCATTCTATGCATTTTAACGAAGGTTGCAGGAAATTGTTATTGAATGTACATCTACAGCTGATAAACATTTAGTGTCAGATTCAAGGTGAGTGCCACTACARATTTCCTCCTGCAGCGCCACAGCTCTCCCCTCGGCATCCTGTCATATGCCTTTTTCTAAATCTACAGACACTAGGAAGGCCTTTCAAACCCTCTGTACTTTAACATCAGCATCCTCAAAGCAAAGATGAYGTCTGTCGTGATTTCTTGGCATAAACCCACACTGCTGCTCACAAATAGTCACCGATGGCTAGCTTCTACAACTCTCTCCCAGATCTTCATGTTTGGCTCATCAACTTCATTCCCCTGTAGTTACAATTAGGGCTGCACAAAATTAGAAAAAAAACTGACATTACATTTTTTTTCTAACCCTGTGATATACGTATATTGCAATATGAAAATTACAGGAATTTTCAACAGATGACTTGAAAAACACTTTAATGCTATGCAGGCATCTTGTTGACGATGAACCTGCTCTGATCTTACCTATTTTCTGTGTTAGAAGTATGTTTTCTTATTTGAGCTATTCTTGTTCTCTTTTATTGTGCTGGAACCTGAGAACATGTTTCATCTGCAAACAGGAATTGCATTGTACCATCCAACTGTTGCCGCTGTTTATCTTAGTTTCTGTTTCCAACAYGCTTTAATATTAAATTTCATACTAACTGTATTTTACCTCTTTTCCTCCAGTTTTCTGTAAATTTGCTCATCTTAATTTTTTTAGTCAAAATCCTCGTCGTCTTCCAGAAATTTCACAACAAAATGAAAGTTTTAGGTTTTTTTTGATACAAAATTGCCTGCGCTCACCAGTGGGAGCAACCCGTCAAAATAAAAGCCGTAACATGCAACGGTTTAGTGGAAAGACTTATGTTTTAGTTGTTTAGCCCTTAGAAAACAGGTTGGTTTAATTTGTGTCCTACGTCATAGGACCAGCAATGTGATTGTTGTGCACATGTACATTGTGATGACGATGCTCAAACCGTATYGTTCAGTTCTAGCTACAACTCTGTACATCAYTCTTGTTCTTTRACATTGGCACCAGTAGACATACAGCGGGTAAAATAAGTATTGAACAYRTCAMCATTTTTCTCAGTAAATATATTACTAGAGGTGCTAATGACATGAAATTTTCACCAGATGTTGGTAACAACCCAAGTGATCCATACATACAAAGAAATCAAACCATAAATGTCCAGAAATGAAGTTATTTTTTAATAATGTGGAATGGCACAAGGAAAAAGTATTGAACACACTTACTGAAATTTATCTAATACTTTGTACAAAAGCCTTTGTTGTCAATGACAGCTTCAAGACGCCTCCTGTATGGAGAAACTAGTGGCATACATTGCTCAGGTGTGATTTTGGCCCATTCTTCCACAAACAGTCTTCAAATCTTGAAGGTTTCGTGGACCTCTTCTATGAACTCTGATCTTTAGTTCTTTCCAYAGATTTTCTGTTGGATTCAGGTCAGGTGATTGGCTGGGCCATTCCAGCAGCTTTAGTTTCTTTCTCTGAAACCAACTGAGAGTTTCCTTGGCTTTGTGTTTGGGCTCATTGTCTTGCTGAAATGTCCAGCCACGTTTCATCTTCATCATCCTGGTAGATGGAAGCAGATTTTTATCAAGAATGTCTCTGTACATTTTTCCACTCATCCTTCCTTCAATTATTTGAAGTTTGCCAGTACCATATGCTGAAAAACAGCCCCACACCATGATGTTCCCACCTCCTAACTTCACTGTTGGTATGGTGTTTTTGGGCTGATGTGCAGTGCCATTTGACCTCCAAACATGATGTGTATTCTGGCATCCAAACAGTTCAATGTTGGTCTCATCTGACCAGACTATATTCTCCCAGTATTACATAGGCTTGTTTAAATGTTGTGCAGCAAACTTTAAAGGAGCTTCAACATGCTGTTTCTTCAGCAGTGGAGTCTTGCGTGGTGAGCGTGCATACAGGCCATGGTGGTTCAGTGCATTACTTATTGTTTTCTTTGAAACAAWYGTACCTGCTAATTCCAGGTCTTTCTGAAGCTCTCCACAAGTGGTCCTTGGCTCTTGGACAACTCTTCTGATAATTCTTTTCACTCCTCTGTCAGAAATCTTGTGAGGAGCACCTGGTCGTGGTYGGTTTATGGTGAAATGATGTTCTTTCCACTTCTGAATTATGGCCCCAACAGTGCTCACTGGAACCTTCAGAAATTTAGACATTCTTCTGTAACCGATGCCATCATTATGCTTTGCAACAATAATGTTGTGAAGGTCTTGAGAGAGCTCTTTACTTTTACCCATCATCAGATGGTTCTTGTGTGATACCTGGCCATCATCTGGGACTGAACCAGCTGATATTAACTTGCACTGACAAGGGGCAGGCTTGCTTTCTAATTACTGAGAGAGTTCAGCTGGTGTCTTGGCTTTCCATGCCTTTTACACCTCCCTTTCTTCATGTGTTCAATACTTTTTCCCTGTGCCATTCCACATTATTACAAATAACTTAATTTCTGGACATTTATGGTTTGATTTCTTTGTATRTATGGAWCACTTGGGTTGTTACTGACATCTGGTGAAAATTTCATGTCATTAGCWCCTCTARTAATATATTTACTGAGAAAAATGGTGACGTGTTCAATACTTATTTTACCCGCTGTACATGTACACCTACAGCTAATTAATCTTTTGGAGTCGATCCAGTTTAAGATGGCCGCCACAGCTAATCTACATGATCACCAGAAATGGCTATAACCCAGTCAGTGTTGCAGATTTTGAACTAGCTCTGTCATTWATAATACATTCGCATGAGATCGTGTATAGCATTTACAAGGTTTGACAAAGACAACTATAATTCCATCCCTTTTCATCATGACTAAAATTTCAACATGAAAGGTGACAGACTTTAWGCATTGCTTTAAGGATTGCTAAGCCTTTTGATTTGAGACTAATTTGTTTAACAAAAACATGAGTCTAAATAACACCAACCTCTTTATTTAAAGTTAAATTACGGGTCATCCTACATGCAGCACATTGTCAATAGTGTTGGAGAAAAATCAGTGTCAGGACAGGGCTGATAAAACAGGTTTTAATTACCAAAATGTAGCTTCTGCAGGGAGACGTGTACATCCTTTCCTCCGGGCCRTCTCTGGCCTTTGATTTCTGGTAATGTGCTCTGCTGACGGGGCAGGCTGAGCTCTGCCTCAATGTTCGGCTCCCTTTGAGAGGCAGCTTGACAAACTGCCATATTGATTTCTCCCCTCAGAATCTCCTGCTAGTAGCATTTATCAGCGACCTCAATTTTCAWGCCTTGGCCTCTTCATTTTTAACCCAATGAAAATGAACGAATAATTTCTTGTTGTACATGGAAATCAATTCACCTTTTGACCTTTTGGTGCACATGAGGGATGTGGTGTATCTTAAGCTTGCATGCCGTTCCAGTGACCTGTTTTGTAAAATACAATCATCAATTTTGTAAATAGTTAACACAAAGTGTAAGCTACAGCCACATTCCCACCCTCCTTTCTTAAAAAATGGAAGGAAAGCATTTTGGTTTGACTTTAAAAGTGAACAGTTTAATAAAAGACAGAGCCTTCTTTGAAGGAAGCGTATATCACCAGCGTTTTAGATGAAAATCATCTTATGTTAGGAAATAACTTTAGTTTATACCTATTTGGTCAAACTTTTATTTGATAATGTGAAATCTTATGCAACATTGTAATATTTTGCGTGATAAGTTTTTATGTGTTGTGAATGATGTCGGCTTCTATACAACACCCAGTTTTAGCTGAATATCTGCAAACTTGATTAAGTTAAAGCCATTTTTGTCAAATAAAAATGATTAGCAATGGTGGACATTTTGAATTAGGTTGAAAGCCAAGTTAATCATTTGGAGAAGTTTATCCATTTAGTGACTGATGAGATATTTGCCTAATGGGTGCCCAAATTTTTGTCCCAGAAGGTCAAAATGAAAATCTATCCGAGGGCTTTTAACTTTTTAGGTTAAGTCCTTTTATATTTTATGATTATAGCAGCCAGTTTGGTGGCCAACCTTTTTTTTTAGACTGTGCACTTGGAGAAAGTTTGACATACTCTCAGATTAAAGATAAAGTAAGCACCATTAGTGAAGACTATCTTCACTAAAGTCATTGTGCTGATGACTGTGAGTGGAAATGCAGTGTTTCAACATAGAACAGGGATATTCAACTAAATTCCTCCGGGGGCCACAGTTACTGCAGACCAACAGCTCAAGGGCCGAACATCCAGCTATTAAAGTTACTATGTAAATAAACCAAGTATTACAAAGATCTGTTACCTTTGAAATTGTTTATTTTGTTGTGTTTAATCATAAATACAACATACAGAGCCCYATAAAAAACACATTAGGCCTCCTATTTGACACAAAAATTATTTTTAAAAATTTTAAACCACTTTTATTTTCACTTTCATAGTTTTACCTTCAACTGCTTGTATTATAACTGTCTTGAGTGTGCATAGAAATGGTTTTAACCAGCTTCTAGCCAAGATTCTGATGTTTCTGTAGATACTAAATATGTCTGTCTAACAACTTAGAGTAATTAAAGTAGAAAACTGGGGGAGATGAATGAAAAAATTGGCGGGTCGAAATTTTGTCACTCGGGGGCTGAATGTGGCCTGTGGGCTGCCAGTTGAATAACCAGAGCAAATACCGATGGGCGAAATCAAATGGCTGGACAGTCCAATTCTGGCCCACTGGCCCCACTTTGGACACCTCTGATGTAGGCTAAATGAACACACGCACATGCTAAATCTATCTCTCTTCACGTTTAGCAGCAGCTGATAATTACTGAACCCCATGTTTATTAAATAAAGTGAACGTCCTGGTTCAGCACTTCAGCTGCACCACAAAAAGCTCTATCTTATGTTTGGTTGTACTCAAATCGTCTGAACTTCATGAAAAATGCATGCGCACAATCCTCCCGAACAGCATGATGACACCAGACTATCACTCTAATCAAACTAATTGCCTCAAACAAGGAACATTTAGACACACTTACAGAAATCGAATCCTTCGTATCGGGCTGCACGTATAAAACCAAGCCCTTTGCTTTCGTTTGCCGCCTCTCATCAGGGCTGAAAGTGTGCATGGGGAATGCTCATGCAACCATGTCTTAATTACTCATTGACCCTTTGACCCGGGCGCCGCATTGATACCACCTTACAGCCCGACACAAAAGCGTTTGGGTTACAGATGACTGCAAGCCTTGTGTGCGGCTATTACAGGATGACGTGAAATCTAAACTGCGGAGCATGTGAGTGCATTGTATTTGCTTTCAGGGCTTCACCTTTGAGTCACTCTAAACTGCAGGGGAGGCCACCCCTTGAGCCGAGGCCGAGGCTTTACATTACATATTGAGCCTTAGTCACCACCACTGCAGGTATAAGTTATCTGGACCGCAAATGGACTTCTGTAAATTAACAAAACACACCTGCGTTTTAAGGCGAGAYTGATGCTTTTTAATAGCCTCGTCCCATATTGAAGTGTCTAAATTACACCAGCGCACAACTAAAGTGGTAATGAGCAAACAATTAATGCCAGTTTGGCACGTTTAATTGCAAGCCCGGGCTGGTAATAAGTTTTGTCAAGGTGAAATCTTTAAATACTTGTACTGTTTAGAGTTTAGGTAAGTAAAGCAAAAACAAGCG